CTCTCTCTCTCTCTCTCTCTCTCTCTCTCTCTCTCTCTCTCTCTCTCTCTCTCTCTCTCTCTCTCTCTCTCTGCGCGTGCCGAAGTCCCGCAGAAGAGCGCGCGCCCGCCGTTTAGTCGTACGGTGCGTAGGGACGGAAACCCCCGTACGTACGGGCCGTCTGTACGGAGCACGTCCGTACGTACGGGCCGTCTGTACGGAGCACGTCCGTACGTACGGGCGTGCGCTAACGCGCTGTCCTGCCGCGTCGCCTGCCGCGTCGTTGTCGCATGGTCGTCGTCGTCCCTCTTTCGTCTCGTCCGCAGCCCCCCGCGTCGTCGCTGTCTCTGTCTCTGTCTCTCCCTTCCTTCCTCTTTCTCCCTCGAAGCTTCTCTCTCTCTCTCTCTCTCACTCACTCTGTGTGTGTGTGTGTGTGTGTGTGTGTGTGTGTGTGTGTGTGTGTGTCATGCCGTCAACAATGTCCACGAGCACTGTTGCGTGGGCGACAACAGCCTCAACAGGAATATGGGCGACAACACAAACTGTGGATGTTGACGCCCACAACCTCACTTAAAAGCAGACGCCCTTGGCCTCTGCCTCAGTGCCTCCCCCTTTTTTTTGGGTGAAAAAATAAGAAAAAGAAAAAAAATGACTGGCCGTATCCCCGCGGGCCTCAGCTTGGCACCCACTGCCGCAGCCCAGGGCAGTTTCGGAGGGCCTTCGAAACTGCCTTGGGCCGCGGCAGTGGGTGCCAGGCTGAGGCCCGCGGGGACACGGCCAGTCATTTCTTTTTTCTCATTTTTTCACCCAATTTTTTTTTTTTTTTTTTTCAACAGCAGCACAGCACCGCACCCACTGACCTGTCCCAACACCCCAACCCCTTAAACCCCCCCCAGCACCCCCCCACAGGCCCGTAGCATGCTCGTACGGGGAGCATCCATACGGCCGTACGCGCGTATGTACGTTCGTCCGTACAACCCGTACGGAGACCCCCTGTACGACGTACGGGCGACGACATAGGCTTTGCCACATAGTGCGGCTGGGACTGCCGTTCGTTAGCGGCCTTGTCATCCGTTTGAATGACCAAGTTCGCACGATCCAGGATAGCCTGGAGTGAGGCGTAATCATACTCGTTGCCGAGTGCGGTTCGCAGTCCTGCGCATGATCGCGAGAAGAACTCAGATCGTTGGTTAGGAAAACTCAAATCGAAACCTGGCGTGGTCACTATCTTCTGCCACTTGGTTGTCCAGTCTCGAGTTGGCATATTCCCTTGAGAGCAGGTGTACACCTCGTTCATGGCCGCCTTCACGACGTTGCGGACCATAAACCGGGTGAACCATAGCTTCTCGAACTCTTTCCACGTGATGTGCGTGTGGAGTTCGGCGATGGTGCATTTGTTGGTAGCCGCCAGATGGTTCATCCATGTTTGCGCTCCTCCAATCATGTGCAAGTAGAAAGCCTTCATCATGTCGTTCGCCAAGACAGTGCGGCATGATGCTTCCGTGAGGAAACGTTGCCACCATGTCAAGGCATCCGACTTGTTGTAGTCGTCGAACTTGTTGATGTGGAAGTGCGGCATCTTGTAAGTCTTCGTAGCGGCGTCCGGTCTCGTCTGCAGCTTGGTGATGTCCGTCTTGATGGCGGCCACCGTGCAACTGATCGTGTCCGGCCCATTGAAAACACCTATGTCGCCGATGAGATTGACGACATGATCGATGCGCCCATTGAGCTGCTTCGTCTCGTCTATCGTGCAGCCTGGCGCTGCTGAGGCCTTAGCCTCGATGTTGTTGACGCGTGCGGTGGTGGTGTTCAACAGCTGTTGCTGTTGTTGCTGATGTGTGGCGGCAGCGCGAACAGCAGTTGTTAAGGCTGCAGAATCATTCTGCTGAATCTGTCGCAGCTATCAGCCCGCGTGTATTTGCACCATCAACATCGTATTGTTCCACATGATCGCTCGCATCATATTCAACGTCAGGTTAGCCAAGTCGCTCCTTTCTTCCTCCGCCGTTGTCGGATCCGCCTGTGTGTCCGAAGGCACAAACAGCATGCCTTGGAGCAGTGTCGTCCACTCACTCTCATTCATAGTCAAGGACTCCATGCAAATAGCGTTCCACTTATCTCGCACAACAGCGTCAGCCTCAGCAGTCTGCTGAGCTTGGTCTGCCGCCTCACTGGCCAGCCGCTGACGTTCCGCCTCTGCTGCCTCCTCCTGTGCCTTTGCGGTAGCTACGRCATTTGTGAATGTCTGTACCCGCTGAAGGTAAGYTGCCAACGGCTCACCGGCCCCTTGGACCGGGCATGCGGGAARAACCCCGGTGGTAACTGGTACTGTTATTGCTGTACTTGATGCTGCTGGAGTCTTCCGCTTGCTGAGTCACTGCTTGGTTCTTGGAGGTACCACAGGGCGGGTACGAACTGCAAGCCTGGCACTGCGTCRTGGCAGTGCCCCGGTGTCCTGTTCCATCGACATCTGTGTGAACTGATGTGGTACTTGAGAGGTCCCGGTGGTCACAAAATACGGGGAGGGTAGGGAGAGTGGGAACAGGGGTAGAACAATCACTCAATTCGCATACAGTCCCCTGTCCCACTGATGGACTGTAGACACCTAATCAAAACAAAAAAAATAATTTTCCCGTAAACAACTCAAAAATTCGTAGTAAGAAGAAATAATAATGAATTATTTAATCAATAAAATCAATTAATGATTAATAATGAAATAATAATTCTTTATGATAATCAGTAAAACAATATTTGCAATAAAGATTTCGTAATGATAAATTGATAATCAATAAAACAATGTTTGCAATAAAGATTTGTTAATGATAATCAATAAACAATATTTGCAATAATGATAAGGAACGAATTTGAATTGTATCAAGATTAGGTATCCCTTGAGATCATCTTTGAGTCCGGGAGYTCACCGTTAATTAGTGAACTACCCGAAAGTTGCAATGCAGAGGGTCAGATTCGGATTAGTTTGCCAAAAAAAATTTTCGAAAAAATCACGAAAAAACACTCGAATTTTCAGAAACGTGAAATTTCGGAAATTTCCACTGTCAAAATCTGATTTTTAAAGACCTAAGTCCGTTTTCGGAATTTCTCAAACAAAGGGAAGAAAAAAAAATTCGCGAAAATTTCGGTCCCAACCCTAATTTTCCGCGGTTYGGCGGAATTTTCGGATTTACGGTCCCAAAACGTTCGAATTCCCCCAGTTGATTGAAAAACCAAAAAACAYATCGTAACCCAAATTTCCAATACTGACGGAAAACGGACATACCAAAAGAAAAACGAAATGTAGGATTTACAACAGAATGCCGAAATTAAAAACGGAATGCTGAATGCAAATCAGAATGCTAAATTTTAACAGGATACTGATTCAACCCTAATACGTTTTAAAATCAGAAATCCGAATCTAACAAATTATCGGATAAGTATCGATTAATCGGAACCCAAATAAACATCATACCGAAAGAAAACAGAAATCCGAATTATAAGTCCGAATACCGAATTGAAACGGAAATGCAGAAATAAATAGGATACCGAAAAAAAGAAAAAAAAAATTGCAACTTTGAACTCGATAGTAATTCAGAGCTGATTTCGACGATTGAAAAAGCCATCTTCTTCCTAATCAGACTTACCTGGTGAGCAGATCCGTATTATGGTCTGCTCCGATACCAAAACTGTTACATACTTGAATGAGTATGGGCAGAACCAAAGATCAACCAATGTAGGATGAGCATATATGCAACGGAAGTCTGATTAACGGGCTGACTCACATAGACTTACTCACACAGATATCACTCCACACACATACAATCGTGAGATGGTGGGGTCTGGGCCAAGCATAGACGATGCCCACTCCCTAGACCTTGTACACACATACACAGATGAGAGGTGGGAGGAGAGACGAAGGAGGAGGGAAGATGTAGGTAGCACCAAACGTCACCGAGATAGAAACCAGTAGGTCATCGATATGGTAATCCAAAATGTCATCGATCGAGGACAATAAGTCACCAATGTTGGAGATACAGACTCCCTATGTAACCGGTGTCAAATCTGTGATGCAGCCGAGTATCATCCTCAACAATCTCCAAGTCTCGAATCCGGTAAGTACCACAGCCTCTTACCACCGAAGTCCAACTCTGATCTCTGTCCAACTAGCATAAGTCTCCAGTTTGAATAATAATAATAATAATAATAATAAGAAGAAGATGATAAAGTCTGAAGAGAAGAAGAAGAGGAAGAAGAAGAAGAAGGGAGCCGAGGAGGAGAGAGAGAGAGATGGGACTGGCGATGGGAGGGAGGAGAGAAACCTCCGACTCCCGATACCGCAGGCGGCTATGGCCGCCAATACGCTCAGTCGCCGCTGCTGCTGCTCCGCTCGCTGCTGCTGCGCTGCTCCATGTGCTCCTGCGCTAAACATAGCGCCAGCGCTGTTCGCGCCGTACCATACCGCACCGTTAGAGTGTCGGTGGGTCGATCCCTCGAAGTGAGGCCGGACCAGTACTAAGTACCAGTTCAAAGAGGACCGGCCTCAATGCTGCGAGGCCTTGGTTGGGGCTGAACCGTCCAGATCGATGATTCAGGTCCAACCGGAGAGCGGCAGCCTCAAAGGCGCCGCCAGGCCCGAAACGAAATGTCGTTTGGGCCTGGTCCATAATCGGGTCCAAGTCGTGGCCTTTCGGCCTGTTAATCCCCAAGGTCGGGCCTTTAGGCTCTAATGTGTCCCTCTAGCCCTATGTCGGGTCCGGTAGGACCCGTGTGGCGTCGAAGATGTAACACA